ACAGAGTCCTCTTATCAAGTAACCCTTTCTCCTCCCTTTGGATGTTCATTTAAAAATCACTTCGTCAGACTAGAGAAGTCTCCCATTTACATTTTCATAGTTCTTACACATTTATTTTGAAGCACCTTCCAGAGTTGGTAATTATTCACAGCATGTATAGGATTATATAATAAAAGTCTATCTTCCCCACAGAATAAAAGTTTCAGAGAGCAGAAACAATGTACCATTTGCTCCATAATTTTAACTTGGCACATAATATATGCTTAGTAAGCATTTGTCTAAATAATTATGTCAGTTAAAAATTTTCCAGCTCTAAGATACTTCATAAAGTCTAAAGTTTGTCAGAAACTTTCATAATTCCACTGGAATTCAACATTCTTTCTTATCAATCCCCTAAGCTAGTCTCTTCTCCTGCCAAGGTCAGTATCTTGATCATTGCTCCTCATCTGAAATGACATCTTTTCTCCCCTCTGTCAATTCAAACCTAGTCACCCATTAAGATGTAGTTACAAAGGAGACAGCGTAACATAGTGGACTGGAGTCCTGGATTCAAATTTACCCAACACTGCTTACTGTTGTATGGTCATGGCAAAATCTACTCCGAGTTAAATAAAATGACATTTTCTGGCACATAGTAATACTAGGTAACTAACAGCTCTGCTAGCCTACTATAGGAATAATACACTTCTACTCTTTAAATTAGAACATCTTAAAGTCAAAGTCCCGGTGCCTAAAAGTTGACATGCAGAATGAACCAATTTCATACACAAAATTAGTTGCCAGAATAATCAAGGATATTATCACTAGTTGGCTAAAAGTTACATGGATTCATTCCCACCAGGGTCAAGCAAATCCTAGAGGTGGGCTGCTCTTGGGTATAGGAAAGCAATTTCCAACATGATGACTTCTTTCTCAAAGAAGCCAACAAAGTACTGGTTTCCACTAAGGCTTAGTTCAACAAGGAGTGAATATGCCCCTTTTACTCCACAGTTAACTTTCCTGGTAGAGCTGTAGAGGATGCATAAGTATTAAACATGGGCCTCTCCCACAAAGTGCTAACATTGTAGCCAGAGAGAGAAAATTGCCTCAACAATGTGAGACAATACAGAATTCAGTTTTAAATGGGGTGGTAAAAGCAAAGTTCAGAGAAGGAAAAAAATGCAAAGAATCATTCTTCATTGAATAGACATCTATGAATCAGCTGAACAACACTTGGCAGCTCTGGTTAAAAAACCAATACATGCCTGCTTTTCAGGAGTTCCTATTCTCACTACCTGCGATCCCCTCCTCTCCATCCATCCAAATCCTGTTCACCCACCAAGGCCTTGGGCAAATCAGACCTCCCGTATGTAGCCTTCCCTAACCTTTCCGGACCAGTTCCACCTTCCTCCATCCCCACCTTTTAAAATTTCTCTATTTTTGTATACTAATTTTACCACTCCACTCACTTCATACTGGCATTGCCTGTACTGTCAAACATATTCATCTTTTTTATTAGGTAATTTTCATTTCATGTTTTTTCAATATGCATTTTCTCCACCTACTTATGAACTCTAGGTATCCGTGGACCTTGAATCTTCTGCAGCAGATTTAAAGCCAATGTATTTTTATTTGAAATAAAGTAGGTCTTCCTAAAAGCAACAGAAAACAGAAGGAGGGGGTGAAGATGGAAAGCAACCTTTATGGAAAACAAGTTTATGTGCTGAGTCCTTTCCTCAGACCCATTTAAATCCTAATCCTCCTAGAAGGAGGGTTGAGCTTTCTTGGAGTCCTTGCTCCCCTCCTACACACATCTTATTAAGCATGGTCATCAAACAGCCAGCATCTGCCCACCTAGGACCTAGCTACATTCATTTCTCCAGTGGGTGTGTGTTTCAGTGTTTCCAGAATCACATTAGTAATTACTTGCTGTATCCAATGGGCTGGATCACCTCTGCTTGCTTTGCTCCTAATACACCCATCAACCAAATCTAACTCCATAGGCAACCACTGATAGAGAAGAACAAGAGCTATTTTTGCATGACTGCCTATTTGAACAAAATCACTAAGGCCTCAAAATGCAAGTAAGACCATCTAAGAATAGAGCAGTTTAAAAATGATGCCTAGTAGTTTTGCCAATACGTACAAAACTATACAGCACTTTTACTATGTTTAAAGGAAGTCCACTATTCTCCATTTCCCAAAAAGTTCTTTGTTCTTCACTCTAATAAAGTAAATTATTCCTCACCTTGGGCAAGTTGGTAGGAACGTGCAAAAATTACATTAAATCAGACATCCTTGAGATCAAAATAGATTGGAACAGGGGTTCTCTTTGTTTAAAATAGTTCTTCAAAGAGAAAGCAAAAGAGCTTAAGGGGAGAAAAAGTTGTCTAACACCCTCAAGCACTTTGGAAGCACCTAAGATCTACAAACTATTGATATGTTAATTAAAATTTACTTTTATCTGGGCTAGGTGTTGGCTGGTCTTGGTCCTATTACCCAGTGGTGCTTCTGGCCTCTATAATAAATTTTTATTTCCTGAAAGGCATTAGAAAATGCTTCCCTTTCTCTACTTCAGACTAGCTTCCTCTCATTCACTATAATTTAGTAAGACTGCATTCTTATTTGCTAATGTTATAAGGCAGAGCAAGACATAATCCATTAAATCCATCCTCCATGAGTCTTCTGGTCAGATGAGAAACTAACCACCAAAGACATGATAAGGAGAAAAGCAGATTTTTAATCAGTGAGTGATAAATAATTGTGTTTACTAGCTGCCAGAGTAGGACCTCTCTTGAACTGTAAATGGCTAGTAAAAATCCTTTTCAACAATAACCCTCCCTCAGCAATCTTTCAGCATTGCAAAGCCCTCACTGTTGAAAATTATTTCTGTGTACCCAACATTAATTCAGATGAGACAGTTTATCTCTTTTGATTCTATTTTAGGAAAGACGCCTTGAACCAATCAGAAAAGAACATGCAAAATAGGAAACTTAAACCATCAAGAGTCCAATCCAAACTTAAACGTGTCTAGGGAATGTATTTTAAGTTTGAAGGAGTCTATGTTACTTTATTAGTTCACTATTTTGGAACAGAGGTTGATAACCTGTGGGCTGAATGCCTGCTTTCATAAATAAAAGTTTTATTGGAACATAACTATATTTGTTGACATATTGTCTATTGCTGTTTTCTTGCTACAGAGGCTTGGAGAAGAACCTGGAGAAGAAACATAAGGAAGGCCCGCTTGCTTCTCTCTTTGGACTTGCACCAGGGACTTGGGGGACATGGAAGGAGACACATGGAGGAATCCTAAGTGAGAGACCTGGACAGAGGCTGACAATGGCAGCCTTTAACTAGATTTGCACTGTGATTTAGTCCCTTTTGTCTCAGACTTGCCTGGCCCCTTCTGCTCCTTACTTATGGGCATCAATGCTTTGAGCCAAACCTGTTTAGCTGAGTATTTACCCACAAGGGGATGGCTAACTTTGGGTGTTTCATTGGGAAACTATTATTCTTCTCTCTCTATGTACACTAATCTGTTAAAGTGCTTTCACACAGAGGGTTTGCTTTGACTTTATGCAGCAGAGAGCAGAACCCATTTAGTGTGTGTAGGTTTGGGGTCATGGGGTGCCCCATTCTTAGCCTGCATGCTAATGAATATGCCAGTACTACCTGTAAGAAAACTGAACTAAACTATCATATAATAAAATTAACAGATAGCATATGCACTGTCCCAAAAATATTTTATACATATATATTATGTAACATATATAATATGTGTATATAATGAAGATATGAGCTCCTCAAGGGCAGGATTTTGTCTGTTTGGTTCACTGTGGAAAATTAGTGTTGAGAAAAGTGCATGGCAGTTGCAGTTATCTAATAAATTCATGAGGAAGGAACGAAAAATAGTTCACACAAAAATGCCATGGAGTTTGTCCTGGTACAAGGCAAGGGAGCAAAGTGAAGATGTGAAATCAGGTGGTTTCAATATGTTTATATCTCACTGACTCTGTTAATACATGGTTCAATCAGCAAGCCCTATTTCTAGCTCACCTTGTTTTCAATTAAATAAAGACCCTTTGGCAATGGGATAAGTAAATCTAACCTGATTAAATGGCAAGCATTTATTGGAGGTTGATTTACTTAGCACTGTATTAGAAACTATAAGCCTAAAAAGAAACATAAGATGCTTTTTTGCCTGTAGCACACATAGAATAGTGTGGTGGTTAAAAGCACCAACTCTGAAAGACAGCCTGGTGTCCACAACCAGACTTCATCACTTATCTCTCACATGACCTTGAGCATGTTATTTAACCACCCAGGCCCTCAATTTCTCCATCCATAGACATGGATGATTATTGTATCTAACCAAGAGGATTGCTGCACAATTACAGCACTGGTCACATCGTAACTACTAATATACACCTGTGAGTGACTTATGATAATTATTATAATTACTTAATTCTATGATTGGAAATATAAACTCTGTACCTGAGGCATTTAGTGAGTAACACAGTATCATGGTTTATAATCCCACACCTTGGTAGGGCTGATGGCGAAAGAATACAATTATCCGTAACGGGCCTCCCTGGTGGCACAAGTAGTTGGGCCCTGTGCTGTGAAGCTGTCCACAGCCTCTGCAGTGCTGGTTTGATCCCCGCTGGCTAAGGAGCAGCCCACATGGTGGGGCAGACCCCTCCTGTCTCAGCCGCTGCTCCCCTCAGCAATGTGCTTCAGTCAGTCTGCCTGTTCTGTTCCCTGCTCTGTCTCTGGTGAATCCTCTCACCCTCCCGCGCATCTGGCCTGTGCCCTGGTTCTTGTATAGATGAATAAATCTTAAAAAAAAAAAAACAAAAAACAATTATCTGTAAGTCCCTCAGTACTTTCTTTGGTTGATTTCTACCTACCCTTCATGCTAAGCTTAAACGTCACTTTCCGGGAGTAACCTGACATGACAAACAGGTCCTCCGATTGGGTCAGCATTCACCATGCAATCCCACACTTCTTGCACTCCGCACCTCCTTGCTGCAGGTGACTCACTCCTGAAATCACTTGTACAGCAGACTGTCCTCTTCATGTGTGCAGACATTTTCGTCTGTGTGCCTTGTTCACTTCTGCTTCCCAAGTAGACCTCCAGCATGCCTGAGGACTGAATGTGCGGTGGGGGCCCCAAATGAAAGACAGATTAGAAAAATAGCAGAATGGTGTGTAGGTCTTGCTATTTTCCTTTCCTTTTCTAAGGAAAAAAAAATTTAAAAATAACAGTAATATGTAATTTCTAGAGCAGAATGCATATAGCTTATCCTTAAATCTCAAAACCTCCCTTAAGTAATTACAGAGGAAGTCAGGCTGGGTTTCTCTTCTATTGAGACAGATTATTGGAAGCATCTTGCTCACTGGTTCCTTTCCATATCTCTGAGAATTACCAGAGTACATTCCTCAAGGAGGGAAAAAAACATGGGAGGGAGATTTTCTTGCTCATCCATCGATTTCATGATTGAAGGCAATACTACATACTAAACTTTTACCTGTTCATTCAAATAGGGTACTTAAGTTGTAACTATTCTTGTCGAGTTCATATACATTTAAGTATATAATCTCAGGGCCTCCCCAGTGGTGCAGTGGGTTGAGTGCAGTGCTATGAAGCTGTCCACAGCCTTGCAGCATGGGTTCGATTCCCAGCCGGCCAGGGAGATTCCCACATGGTGTGGCAGACCTCTCCTGTTGCGCCCGCTGCTCCTCTCAGCAGTGTATATTGGTCATCTGCCTGTTCTGCTCCCCGCTGTCTCTGGTGAATCCTCTCACCCTCCTGCGCCTCTGTCCTATACCCCAGCTCTTGTATAAAAATAAATGAATCTTTAAAAAAAAAAGTATATAATCTCATCCCTCTACTCTCTAATTAGCAATTATTAAATTCAGAAATTCTGAAATATAAGAAGCGAATTCTCTGAAGATTCTCATCTAATGTCTTATTCTCAGGATATTATCAAGCATGCCCACATTCTGATGAAATCATAAAACTTCTCTACTCAGCTATCAAAGATGGAAAATAAAAACTAAGGAAAAAGAATGAGTCTTACTATACAACGCAAATGAGTAAATTTTATAAAAGGCAATGATAAAAATTATAATCCCTTTAGCATATCCTTCATTATGAAAATTCTTCCTGAGGATTTTGTGTTCTATACAATCATTCAATCCTTAAATTCAACTAATATTTGTTGTGCACTCATTCATTAATTCAACTCAACCAATATACGAAACAGCCTCCAAGCATGAGGTTCCTGCCAGGTGTGGGAGGCTAAGGTCATGATATGCGAAATGTACCCAAGTAACTGGCTAATGGACAGAGAAGACAAGCATGCACTACTTGTGCTATGCTCCACGGATCAGAGCTGGGCTTTAAACAGGTCATTACAGGTCTGGGGTAGGAGAAGCAGGGAAACTCAGAGTGACCTTTCACATAAATTTGACAATGTAATTTTATGTCTAGTAACTCTAATGTAAAAAAATCAGGACTTTTTACTATTTAAATTCTTTTTCTTTTAAATTGCATCTTATAAAAATATTTCTCCACAATGGACTGAAAGTAAGGGAAGTCTTAGAAGCCTCACTAGAGGAAAGGAAAGATAACAGAGCCAGAAGGAAGATAACAGAAGAGGGAGAGCAAGCGCATTTCCAGCTTGGAAGAGAAGCACAGAGCAATCCAAAAGATTTCCTGGAGGAAGTGGCATTTGGACTCTATAGGCAAAGCTATGAGAAAGGGACAGCACCTTTTGCGGGAAAGGGAAAGGTTGAGTCCAGGAAGTAAAGGGTTTATACAGGATGCAATCTGTATTTAAGTCTTTGTAAAGCAAAGGGCAGGTGAATAACTAATAATAATAGTGGCTAACATTTAACTTACTGTGGTGGGAATGAATTCATGTGTTCTTTCCAATTACCTGCAGGGACACTGATCTGTGAAAATGGTTCCTGGACAGATGAAGAATATTAAATCAGAAATGAGGGGTCATCTCAGGAAGACATTGCATTCAGGGATAGTTGGTCACGATTTCTGATCTCTACTGTCTCCCTCCCCCATCTCCCACCCCAAACATGAGGGTGTGGTATCACTGGGACTGAGTGAGGTTTACAGATATTCTCTTTAAACTAAAGACATGAAATTGTCTCAAGAGTTTCTTTTGAAATGGTGATGTGAGCCCCAGGATGACTAGGCAGCCGAGCAAAAACAAGGACTTCTCAGGTCCAGCAAGACCCCCATTACTGCAGCCCCCTTTCTACTAACCTGGGGAATGCTGCTCTGAGCTGGGCTGCACCTGGCTCCTGGTATGTGTAGCCATCTCTCACTGATGATATTTTGTGCCTATGGCTAATTAACTACAGACCTTATCCTAACCTTACAACCTGTGTTCTGCTCCTACCACTTAGTACAGAAAGGCTACACTGAGTAGCTTTTAAGTAAGTGTGACATGATCTGGATAGCTGATTCCAGCTCGGGCCTGGCTGCCCTCAGAGAAGGGCAGAAAGTAAGGCTGGTACAGTGAAGGGAGCCCTGGATGCTCTGACCAGGACCTGGAGCCTGAAGACAGTAGGGAGCTAATGCAGATAGATGGAGCATAAAAATCATAGGAGAGGCTCTTTGCCTCCACAAAGAACATTCTTTGGCTCAGCAGGACAATACTATGGGAAATGACAAAGTTACTCATATGGCCCTAGGTCACAATCCTCTTGAGAAAAAAAAAACAGGTTGAAATAACAGAATCAGCTCTTTCTAAACCAAGAAAATCTGATGCCTGCAGTCATTCACAAGTACACATTTTGCAGATAAAGTCTTAAAATGTCTAGCTAGGAAATTCCTGGCCTGTTTTTAAAAATGTATACACATAAACATGTGTATATATGTGTGTGTATTATACATAGCTATATATATCTATACATATACACATATCTATAGATCTCATTAAGGTTATAATTTTAGTTATTTAATTAAGACCATTCGAAAGTTATTTAACAATCTTTTAAAATAAATATGTGTAGGTCTCAAGAGCATCATATATCACATATAAATATATAACATGCATATATAAAAATACATATCAAATTTTATACACACATGTCCCCTACAATCTGAATCTGGAGCATTTCTATGAAAACGTCTATAAGCTGAAATGGTTTAAAATATAGAAGAAATTACCATTCATTAATATGGTAATATTTTTGAGTGTTCCCAGGTCCTCAAAAAAACCTACCGAGGAGCACTAACAAGTGCCAAAAGCAGGGCAGCACTGATACACATACACAGCCTGCACGGAGCAGTTCCGAAGGTGCGGGGAGGCTGGTCTTGCTTCGGTGCCCCCACCTCCGGGTCCATGGGCGCAAAGCAGTGCTGAAGACCTTGTCCACGCTTTGGCTTTTGTCATAAAAGTAGAAGCAATAGTCCCTTCCACATGTCTCTCCAGGACAACAGCTACAAATGCAGTTAATGCAAACTTTTGAAAAGTTGGGGATGCCCAGATTCACACACAGCTCTACCCTTTCTTCAGTTATTACACATATTTGGTATTTGTTCTGATTTGCTTCCCAGTTTGTGAGGGTCTCCCGCAATTTTTAAGATGTCAGAAACCACAAATCAAAGTCCGCATTAGTGCAGTAAATTGGTTGTCTTTGCCAGGGCAAAATTAGAGAGAGAGAGAGTTAACTGTGATGGCCTCAAATAGGTGTTCTTTGAGGACCAAAATCATGATTTTTCAATGTCTTCCCATCTGAAACAGGGGAGCATAACTCACTAGAGCCAAAACCGTTTCTGCCCCATGAAGTTAAATCCCTACACTTGCAGTACAATCTCAACAGAAGCCCTTAAAACAGATGTCATTTGAGAGGAGTTCTTATTTCAACAAACAGTTTTAGGTTTAAACTGAACTGCAAAACTTAGTTTGACTTACCACAGACAGAGGCAACTCTCTGGGGAGGACTTTTTTGTTTGTTTGTTAATCACTTGGAGACTGATGTCATTGCTCTATCTATCCAATGTCACCTCTTCCCCTCTCCCTAAAACCCAAGTGAACTCTGGAGAAAGTGGGAAAGGGCTGAAATTTCATCTTTATCCCTAACTGGCACACAATTCCAATTTACTTATTGCTCAGGTAAGTCTCAGATTTCAAAAACTATGAGCAAAAAGAACATATGATGTGCTCCATAAAAGTGGAAAAACAACAATATTATTATGATCTGTAGCACTACTGTTAGGCCTGGGTGTCATACAAATTCCTTCACTGTATCCTTATTTACAAAAATGTTTGTTGCTGTGACTAAATGAAATTAGGTCTTAATATTTATCTCTGTTGCATGAATAAAAATTGCAACATTTGGCAAAAATTTATAGTCAGAGTTTTCTTGAGTAAAAATTCTACAAACAAATGGTGTATCTACAAAATGGTTTACCAAGACATATGTCTACCAATCCCCATGGATGAAGCTGATTATGTAATTGGTTTTTTCAATGAGGAGTATTATCTCTATACCTTGTTCTTGTTACGGCCATCAGTTGAAGAGAACTTAACCCTTTGGCCCATATTTGCACACAACCTCCAGGGTCTTTGTGCATTGGCTCTATGCCCAGAGGGTGTAAGAACTTCTCAGTGACATCAAAAAATTATGGAGACTCCCTTATCACTGTTAAAATTTTAGCCCATTAACTAAGAACTTTCACAATTAGCACTGCTTTAAGATAAATATTTGTAAACCCTAGAGCATCTAATTTATTTGAAAAAGAATAGCAGATGTGACATGTGCTCACCAAGCCCTGAAGATTCAGAGGCCCTAGGATCAAACACCCCAAGCTAGGAATCTTGAGTCTACCTGACCTGGAGACACTGTTCTCTTTCATGTCTGCAGAATGCAAAAAGAAGCTGGTTTCTAGGACTTTAAATTTTGTCCCTTTTATTGGGAGGTGCTCCACTAGTGAAACTTTGTAATGGATTTTCAATGAAATGCAAATACAAACCACATTCAAGGGCACCATTTAAAGTGAAAACCCACACAAGATTTCTCAAGTAAACCACTGGCTTTAAAGGGAGCCTGGCTAACTTGAAGGGCAGGACACTTGATCCTGGACATGCTGCACCACACCATACTCTGCTGGATCTGACCATGGAATTTCCAAAAGAAACTCCCTCCAACAAAGCCAATAGCACATTTTTGTGGCTTCAGAGTGAAGTGAGGTTTCTCTTTATTAGAGAGAGATGGCATTGCTGAATGGACTCCTTTTCTCTCATACAGTACACTGACACTGGTCTTAGAGAGTTGGCCTCCCCATAAAATACAAAAGGAAAGGGAAAGGTCTTGGTTGAGGGGTCATATGGTTTGGGAGACTAAAGTCAGCCTCTAAAAGTCTTGGAAGGAAGAAGCAATTCAGTATTGCAACTGCACTGAAGCCAAGAGGACCTCAACAGTGTAGGCTCAAAAACTGAATAATCTAGTAATTATTTTACATGAAGCACCCAAGAGTCACAAAACCATGAAGTGATCAATGACTAGCCTTCTTTAATGAGCCGGGGGTTCATGAGCTTAGTTCACACTGAGAAGAAAGAGTTAGCCATGTCTAGAGGACATGAGATAATTGTGTCTAAATGCCAAAGAAATGAGTGGAACAGCGTTTGTAGGTGAACTATTTAGAACTGACCCACTGGAACCCACACTTGGCCCATCAGCATGTTCTCAAAAAGCACTGTCTTGATGGAGGATGACCACTTTAGCAAAAACTGGCCCAAGAATTGGGAAGGTGAGAAGACTAATTACAAATCTGTGGTAAAGTTTCAGGTGTGCTGTAGATGGCACCATTATAAAGATGCCATGGACATGGAAATGTAAGTTAGTAGGTACAGCTAAGAAAAGACCTATTGCCCACCTGGGCATCCAGTTCAGGATTTTGACTGTACACAGAATAGTGTGCCGACTGGCAATGTGTACCTGAAGTAGGACCTACTGTTACCCCAAAATATGAGGAGAGCAGCAACTTAAGTATACTCACCCTTTCTTTTCTAATGAGCTAACAGCACAGTCCTGTACCTGGATACCCCCATCCTGGGGGTCCCATATCACAGAACCATTCCTTTAGGTAAACAGTTATGACAAAGTAGTGAAATAGATAAGTCACCCCAATGATCACAAACATCAATGAAACACGGGATTTCCAACTTGAAGAGGATATAGAGCACATCAAAGTATGTGCTCACTTTATAGAGGAGGTAAGGGAGGCAGAGTGTGTGATGCAGCTTCCTGGTCTCTGAGAGACAGCTAGACTCAGTCATCCTGGATAAGTTTTGTTGCCAGCCCTACCACGAACACACTGGATAAAGCCAAATTCTTCTTTTTTTCTTCTCCTGAGCCTCAGATTCTGCATTTGTAAATAGAACAGATAAAACTAAATGGCTCCTGGGTCCCTGCTAGCACTAACTTCTTGTGTGATCAGTGCTTCTAAAATTGTGATGTGTCCAGGTGGGGAAGTTCATTTACCCCCTATCTGCTTTATGCTCCCTTAAGTGAGCAATTTCTTTCCTCTGAGGCTCTCATCTTACCCATTATTCAGAGTGAGCTGCCTCCTGGTGTGCTGTCAAAATACATCAGCTTCAAAGACAAACACACACCTTTCAATCCAAGGCCAAGATAGTTTACTGTATAATTTATGATAATGTTAAGTCTGTTTCTCATAAATGTTAACGGTGCCACTTTTTTTTTTTTTCATAGATGGGTAATTCTCAGAAAAGCAGCTGGATGTTAAAAGTTACATTTTTTTCTAACACCCTAACTGCCTCAACCAACAAATCTGATTAAAACAAAATAAAACTTCACTGGGTTGCACAGACAAAGATTCTGTCAGGAGCAAAATAAAATCGTTCAAAGATTCTGTTCTCATGACTGTTTATCTACCATGATTGAAGTTTGCATGTGCACACTTTTCTCCACTTTAATATGTAGATATTAACAGAGAGAGTTCTTTACCTTAACCCAGGTTCTTTCTATTTCTGTAAATTGCTAAATTTGCTGTACATTAGTGTTAGGATAATACAATATGCTAAAGTACCTCCCCCAAAGTAAATTCTTTCCTGCTAAAAATATTTTGCCATCAAGTATTCAACCTTTTCTCATTTAAAGAATTAGCAAACTTTATTTTGAATTAGAAATGCCATCACTTCATCTTTTATACCCTATAGAGTTGTTTTGAGGAATTTTCTTAGACATTGGGAAGCTGGGTTTTGAAATCACTTGAACCTTTCAAAGTCATTCCCTAACAAAAGAAAATGAGTTGATAACTTCAGTTTAGCTACTATACTGAGGCTTCTGAAATTCCAATTTTTTTTTTTTGAAGCATCATACAATCTATCAGCACAAGAATGTAGGTATTCTTGGGCCTCCCCTGGTGGCGCAGCGGTTGAGCACTGGGCTTCGAAGCTGCCCGCAGCACTCTGCAGTGCCGGCTCGATCCCCAGCCACCGGTGAGGGTCCCACATGGCGCGCAGACCTCTCCTGCTATGCCCGCTGCTCCCCTCAGCAGTGTATTTTGTCAGTTTGCCTGTTCTGTTCCCCGTTCTGGCTCTGGTGAATTCTCTCACCCTCCCGTGCTTCTGACTGTACCCAGTGCTTGTATAAATAAATAAATAAATAAATCTTAAAAAAAAAAAAAAAAAAAAAAAAAAGAATGTAGGTATTCTTATTTGAGGCCATAAGACAATAAACACCTAACATAAAAGGTAAAATTTTAAAGTCCACAACAAAAAGCCAGAAAAATGGTACCAAATAAGGATAAATGGTCTCAAATTGCTTGGTATCAGGAACAGGGTCCTAGTCCCTCTTTAACTTGGTAACCGCACCATACATTCATTCATTCATTCATACACACAAGACATACTGAACCTGCCAGCAAGGTACTAAGCTGGGCACTGGTTATACAGAAATGATCTATCTAACAGCCTCTGCTCTTGAAGATTCCACAGTCCAGGGGGAGAAAAAGACATACAGATAATCCTACCGATGTGTTGGGGATGTTGATAAAGATACATATAGGGTATTAGAAAGAAGGGTGGTGGTGAGGAGGAATGTCAGGGTTTCAAGGTTTCTTAAAGGAGGTGATGCCCCCTCTGAGTGGTAATACCTGCCTTGTTTTGGCTTCACAGACCAGTTGTGAGGCTCTTGTAAGATAAAGCCTTGGAAAAGCCCTTGTGAACTAAAACACAAAAGAGCTGTATGGGATTATTTTCCATGGTGAGAAACAGAAAGCTGTAGCATAATGAATGAGCTCTTTTGCGTCTCAGGCTATTAAGAAAAACATCCAAACATTTGGAAGAGGGCTTTCAAAATCCAGTTGCAGCTGATTTTCTCCATCTTGTTTGTATATACAGAGAACTTAAAATGAAAGGACTAGATATCTGGCTCCAATTCATAGATGAGGAGACACAGGCACAAGGCCCAGAGAGGTAGGGAGGATTCTGCTAAGGGGAGGTGTGAGAGAAAGATCAGGAATCAGGTGAGAGTGATGGTAGGGATGAGGTTTCCTCTCCACACTCCTCTTAAGGATGAGACCCTCCTCCCTGCTAAAACAGGTGAGTGACTCTTTATATGTTTTCCCCTCATAAAGTCAGAAAGGAAACAAAATTCTCATTTAAAACTCCCCAAATATTTTTGCAACATTTTCCCCCTCCATTTCTTTCCAAAGCAGACAAAACTGGTGTTAGGCTCAGCTCACCTCTTAGTGAAATGAATATGAACCTGTAAAATCTGTACTGAGTGACCAAGATAACAACTTCAGTGTAACAGGAAATAAAAAAGGAATCCATGAGGGCTGGGGTCCTTGGAAGATATTACAAAGGCGGCAGGTCAGCAGGAGCTGGGAGCTGAAGTCTGAGGACACTTGGCAAAGAGAGGAAGAGGGGCGGCTACTGTAGAGCAAGGGGTCGTCAGGCTAAGGGGCAGGGCACACTGGGCTTGCTGCTGGACAACCTCCCCAAGAGACCCTCAGAGGTCCTGTGCCATCAGGGCTTGTTCCACTGCTACCCAGCAGGAGTCCAGAATCAGAAAAGCGTTAGCTGTTCCTTGAACGCCTTCTGTCTTACTTTATTCTAGACCATGAACCAAATGGCAGCGGCTACTTGGGGTGTACGGAGCTGACAGATTTATTCTGCGCATGCTCACTGTACACGCCTGAGGCCACAAAGAGCCAGAGAAATTCAGTCTTTGTGTCGTGAAGCTCTTAGCACTATAGGCAGACACTCACTCACTCTGTAGTACAAAGTGCCCAGGGCAACGAAAGTGGTGTGTACAAATGCCAGGGGTGCAAGGATTTTGTGAAACAGAAAAGGAAGGGGAGGGCACAGACATGTAAAAATAGAGGGTGTTTGGGGAGGGAGGAAAAGCTAGTGTGTGGATGGCTGTTTGTTGGGCCATGGTTCTCAGCCCCAGCTGTCCATCAGGATCACGTGGAGAAAAACAAGAACACAGGATGCCAAACGTCCTGTATGTTGATATGGGTGGTGGTTACAAGGACGTATTTTTGTGTAAAAATTCAAATCACATATTTCAGATTAGTGTATTTTACTGTCCTAATCATATCCCCCCCAAAAAAAAGATTAAAATAATAATCTCTAAGCCCCATCCCAGACCAATTAAATCAGACTCTAATAAGCAAGTAGAGTTGATGGCCATAGTCCTAGGGGAGGATTTTTTTAAATCCTGTTTCAAAGGCCACAAATCTTTTTAACAGAAAAAAAAATCTTTATTCCACTACCTGCTAGTAAGAAATTAATGAAAGTAACTGAAATTTATGGAGGGGCCTATGTTTGTTTAAGCCCTATTTCCAATCCTGCAAGACCACCTTGCACGATAGACTTGGTTTGTGAGTCCCATTTACAGATAAAGAAACTGGGGTTCAGAGAGGTTACTCTCTTACCAAAGGGCACACATCTAGTAAGAGCAGACCTGAGAGCTGTGTGAGGCCCCAGGGTATACATCCTGAGGGACTCAAGCATCCTTTCTGAAGGCAGTAAGTAAATACCATCAAAAGGCACTGGGAGACCATCATCCTGACTCAAGCTCTAACAACTTCTCAAAGTAGGAGCTTTTTGCTGTTACAGGAACGATTTCTGCAAACCGGCAAGCCTAGAGTCAGCAGTGATTAAATTGCCCCTTGAAGCCTTTAGCCACTTGCATGTCGCTTTGTCTTTGGGGTCTCATCTCAGCAATTCATTTTAGCTTCAGTCTGCACCACAATCTCCAATCTGTCATGTCTAGGGCAAGAAGAAATGCCCTCCTAACAAGACTCTGGGCATCACTGAGGCTGCCTGCAATCCAGGCTTCTACAGAGTCAGATTCTTCATGCGCAGGTAACGAAGCTCATAGGAACAGGAGAAAACTGCATTAAAGCAGAAAATGACAATTCAGAACACACACCCATTGAGTGACGGCATTTAAGAAATCCTCAAAGCCCTTAGCAATGTAGCTGCCAAAAGAAAAAAAAAAAAAATGACTTATTAAAAAAAAAAAAAAAAAGATCCAAGTAGAAGTTATAATAAGGATCCATATACATACAGCAGGTTATAAAATTACTGCAGCATTAAAGGTGATAACAGCATAATGTCATCTAGTGTATATGAAATCCTGGACAATATAAGATGGGTTGCTTAAGTATATAGGCTAATACTGCCTAGAACACCAGGGAAATAATAACTGCATGTAAGAGGGAAAATATTCACTTGGTAATTCTGCATCACCTTTCTTGGTACTTGCAGGAGACAAATGGATGACATCTCAGCAGTTCTCTCTGTACTCACAGAACTTCTTTCTTAAACCAGGCTCTGTGGTTTGAGCTGAAAAGTTGGAGGGGAGGGAGATGTTTCTGTGTTATTCCTTTACCCCCTGTTCTGTTTCTAAGATCTCACAATGGATAGTGGAAAGGGAGGAGAAGGAACTAAGTGGAGCACTTGAAAAAGGGTAGCTTTGGCAAACTGCACACCAACCACCTTTCCTTAGAATCCAGATATCTGCAGAATCCAAGACTACAGAGTTGGAATGTATTTAAATCCAATACTCAAGACTATACTAAAACAGGATATTAAAATCCAAACTCCAAACTTTAAAAATGAAGAATCTAAGGCATAGGGCGGTGAAGTAATTTGCCAGAGCTGATTTACAAAGCTGGTTTCCTGGCAGAACTGGGTTTAATCAAGCCATGACTTATTAGAGCCCTTTCCTATAAATGATCTCATGAATACCCTATACCTTAATGAAGAAACTAAGGTTAAGAGATCCTATTGTTTTCCCCTAAGCTTTCCCAGTAAGTGGCAGTTCTTGAAGCCAGCTACCTAGAATCCTCTAGTATTCAGAAAACTGCCTATGTTAGTGGGTGGTTAGCAGGCAAATGTCCATACCTGTACTAGGCTTCATTTGTCCTGATTTGCCCCAAATGGAGCTAAGCCATTTCTCTCTGCCCACATCCCAGTCAGGGGAGATGGCATTACTGAGTAAAATATATTCAGGCACCTTCAGGCATATGCTATACTGAGAAAATTGAGACAAAAGGCTAAGGATGTTTGGGCACAGGCAAGAAGCTGTATTACAAAGGTACATCACTTCCATATTCATTTGCACATTTTTCCTCATAAGAAAATTAGGCTTTAATGTAACCTCAATTTCAACCTTGTTGCTTTATCGCCTAAAGCCCATTAAAGAGCTATTTCCCAGGGCCAGGAACTTATGATTGGAGGTCAGGAGGCTGGGGTTTTAATCTACTCATGATGAGACTTCTTTCCTGGGGCTCCACTTCTCTGTCACAGCTCTGTCCTGTTCTGGGGGCGGGGGGAGAAATACACCCTACATGGGTATAAGGCAATGAGGATTTTCTCTTACCACACCAAGGCTGGCTTAACTGCCACTGTGTGTCTATGAGAGTAGGGGAGGAGTGGGGTGAGGCAGAGTTTTCACTGATTTATAGATCAATGTCAGTCAAACCAAGCAGCTATGCCTGCAAATGTACCACCCCAGATAATCAAAGGGCAAAGTATTAGCTTTTTTCTCTTCCTGCCCTTCCACCCCACCATTCCAACCCCAGCATTCTCTGGACTTAATCACAATGTCTAATTCACTTTAGGGGACATGTGAAGGGCCCCTAAAGAGTTTTTTCTGTCCTTTTCCCCATGCCTCAGATAAAACTAGCAACTGATAAGAAGTATTCTTGACCCCTGGTTCTTAAACTTAGATACACACTGAAGCATATAGGTAGTCCCCAAAATTTCTTATACTTAGGCCCTCCCCCAGGTCCTACAGAAATGCTGATATAATTGGTCCTGGTGCAGCCTGGGCATTAGGATTTTTAATGGCCCCTTGCCTCCCCTCTAGGTTTAATATGGAGACAGTTTTGAGCAGCACTGCTTAGCTGAGGCCTGCATGAGATTTCCCAGCATGCCTCTGGTCAAATGTCTTCCCACCCTTTATGTCCACCTCTACCAAGGAAGAAGGAGACTGTAATCACACTGTCCACTCCCTCCATGCCAATGGCACTTATCTCTAGGTAGGATGTTGGTGAAAGACAGGGACAATTCACACAGATTGCTTCAAAGTTCTTGAAGTGTCTGCTTATTCTACTAAATAAAATGCTTATCAGGG